TGCGGCGCCCTCCGCTTCCCCCCGCGGTGCGAGCGAGCCGGCGTGCGGGCTCCCCCGGGGAGCCGAGTGGCCCCGGGCGCCTGGCCTCTGGGGCTCCTCGGATCATTCAGAAGTCGGTTAACTTTAAGTGGAATCGGAGTCTTTCCGTGTTTCCCCCTGCCCTGCCGCACAGCTGCCCTGCAACCGCGGGGCCTGCCGGGGCTGTCAGCGCGCAGCCAGGCCCCAGGCTCGGCGATCCCTCCGTGCCATCTTCCGCGTCCTGTAGTCCTGCTGCAGGCACTTGGCCGGGGGTTGATCGTCACTCTGCATTTAACCCCCCGTGGAAATAAATGTGGCTATTGCATCAAATCCCAGAGCTCCTCAGCAGCCCTTCATGTGCTGTGCTGTTCTCTGCTGAGAAAATCTCTGCTCTCGAGGGTCTCAAGCCTGGCACAGACAAAGACGTGGCAGCCGCGTCTCGGTAGCGCTAAGAGCGCAGCAGGCAGGGAGCTGGGAATGAGGGGAGGGAGCTACGCTGGAAAAATAGTTGTTCGTTTCCTGTTAATGGTGTACTGAAAGCCAGAAGGCTCTGCTGGCAGGTGGACTGCTGCAGTTCACTGCTGCTGGCTTTCTCCAGAAATGCCCGCATTTAAACTCTTCGCTAAATCTTGAGAACTTTGCAGCACAGGGTTTGCTGCTTGCAGTTGTTAAAATGGAGTGTTTTCATAGCGTTTCATCCTTAAAAGCCCCAGTTTTTTAAACAAGCAAGTCTTGTCTTTGATAGGCCTTTCAGAAATATTGGGGCTCAGGGGGTGTCTGACTTGCTTTTTCTCAGGCTGTTCTACTGTAATCTTAATCTTCAGTAAAGTTTATTTGTGGACCGAGATTTGAGCCTTTAACTAGTCTTATTTTGTGTGTGAATTATGTACACATGAAGCTTGTTACTCATAATTATGCTAATTATTAAAATTATCCTATATATTCTATTGTGTGCTTTGTTTGCTTTTTTTTTAGTGTTTGTGTGACTACATATACTGGAGTATTTGTTTAGTCAGCTATATGTGAGCTATTTTTTTAACTAATGGGGACCTTTGGGTGCTTTTTCTAAAAAAAAATGGATGCATGTTTTTGTTGTTTTAACTGGCTTGCAATGTCTGAAAATTGCTTTTAGTTGAGTCAAAATATAGCCAAGACAAACTCATTCTGGCCAAGTTGCATTTGCTTGTCCAGACACCGAGATTTCACAGTTGAAATCTGTGTGCCCTGCATATACTGCACAGTCAAACTTGGTGAGGTGGCAGGAGACGGTAAAAGCAAAGGTGGCACGACTCCACTAAACTTTGCTAAATTTGATACTGCTCACCGTTGATATTCTTTGAGCCCAAGCCAGTGTACAAACCCCGCTCTCTGTGGTGTATGACCGTGCCAGAGGGTTTTACTGTTTTCCTAGCTGGGCGTAAGTGCTTTGTGTAGACTCTTTAGTGTTTCTTTTGCCATGAATAACTTTTACACTTTATTTTGTGAAGTAGAATGGATAAAAAGACAGCCTTGTTTATTTCCCAGACTTTACTGAGAGGTGTCACTCAAGGTAGACTGTGCAAAACTGATTCCTGTCTTCTGTGTTGCAGAGCATATAATTAACTGCAGTAACATTTGACACCTTATGAGAGTGTTTGGGTAAGCTCATACCTCTCTGGCTATGAGAGGTATGTTCTAGGCTTGGGCAGTTTTTGCTGTGTTATTCGTATTTTTTTTGGCTTGCGCTCTTTGAGGCTGCCTTCCTCCTGAGGAGCTCAGGGTTGTGTGTTGGGGTTTTTTTTGTTTTATTTTTGTCTTTTTTTTTGAGCACTAGAGTTCATACTGTGGAAGCTGGAGTTAATTATGACTACCCCATCCTGCCACATTTCATATGAAAGTTCTCTTGGACTGTGAGTTTGCATTAGTAAAGCTCTGTGAGTGCTTACCACCCTTACGTTTTCACTTAGTAGAAATAGCAACAGTAGCAAGGATGATGCATTAAAGCAGCGTAATTTGCATTAGCGCAATCAGCTGTCAGCCCTGGTCTTTGCAGCAGGTTGTGGATACCGACTTGATGTAGCTGGCATCTCTGTGATGTACTGATTTTTGTATGGGTCTGTTTTAGGAGAATGTGTTTATTGGTCAATCCAAAATCTACAGCTACCTGAATCCTAACAAAACTCCCGGTGCTCGCCCCCCGCTTCAGGAAGAAAACTCTGTCATGTATCACGAGGTGAAATGTCAGGGCAAAACACTAAAGGAAACCTACAGGAAAAGAGATGGTAAGATTGATCTTTGGATTGCTTGCCTCATTAAATGTGCTCCCCTCACCCCCAATTTGAAGACTTTAATACCCAGTCAAGAAGGCCAGGCAGCTCCCCTGGCCAGTTGCTTTCCCAGTCCTACAACTCTGTCGGCAAACTGGGACTCTACAAAGATGAGGGTGTCCTTATTCTTTTCAAAACGTAGGTCACAGGTTTACCAGGCAATTCTTCCCCTATTTTTTGTCTGGCTGTGTTTGTATTGTCTCTCTGGATATAAAAAGCTAATGCTTGCACTGTCAATATGCCCTAATCTCCCGCAATTCTATTACTACTCTGATTCTGCAGGTCAGTGTTTGGCAGTTTATCTATTTTTTTTTTTTCTGTTTTATTACCTAAAACTGTGTTTTTCCCTATAATTTGACTATTTTATACTGATTTCTATAAAGGCAATTCAAAGTCAAATCAGGTACGAGGTAGAGGTACTGGTAGAAGAAGAAACAATTCTTAAATTTTCAGGATGAAGTAAAGGCAGTGAGAAGGAGGAACACAGACTGTGAATACTGAGTGCCAGGCTTCAGAGATGCTTCATTGTAGTGACTAGAAATGGGAATGTTGCATAAGTTTATGGAGGAGGGGGAAAAAAAAAAGCTGGTTTGTGCTTAAAGGTGCATTTAATTACCTTGGTAATTTGTCAAAACATTTTGATGCAAACACTTTTAGCGAGCCGGTATTTTAAGCCCCACTCAACACAGGGAGTGTCAGGTTTTCTGGAAACTTAGGGCCTTTAGCTCCTAATTTGGCTCCCCAGTTTTGACAAGAAAGTGAAGATGGCTTTAGCTTGTCCCACTGCTGTGGCCTTGCAGCTGTGCTTCATTTCTCCAGCGAGACTGAAGCATCTGTCTCAGCAGATGGGACTGTTAAACCTGGTGATTTGCTTTACATAAAAACTTTATTCAGCTTTAAGCCATGCTCAGCTACCTCTAAATCAGTTGGCTGAGGAGGAGGATGTGGTCATGTCAAGGTAGGATGAATGCAACCAAGAAAACGTTAGGGGGTGGGGGTAGACTACTTGTAAGTCCCAGCCCTTTAGCTCCCGTGGATTTTGTCTGCGTGGTGGTGGCCACTTGGTGCCAGCGTCTGCAGCTACTGATCAGAGCAGTGCAGGATCCAGAGAGGCTTCTCCCCCTTCAGTGCAGGATGTTGGTTAGCTTATGGCAACTTGATAATTTAGTATGCCAGATGCAAACCATGCAGTTGTTTCAAACACTGCACTGAAGGTGCTGCATGTTCAGGTTTGGAAAACTCGTGAGCTGCAAACCTAACACAGCGAAGTACTTGGGCTCTGTTTTACCCTTTCCCTTTCTCTGCTCACCCCTCCCTCTGTACGATGTGTACTGTAGCAATGACTAGTCAAAAGCTGAGTAACACCCTGTCTGGGTTCTAGCAGAAAGATTGTATCATTCCCTTCCTCTTTCTCCTGTTTGACAGAACTAGAAACTTGGACTAGAAACCATTGGAATTCATTTAAAGCACTCTGGTATAGATGATCCTAAGTTCAGAGCCTTACTTTATTTTCCTGTCACCAGAAAAAAAGAATGGTGGCAATATAATTGAAGGTGCTATGAAACCAGAAGACCAGAAAGATAAAGCAAGTGGGTGCAATACTTCAGTGCCCTCCTCTGATCAAAACCAAGAAACCGTAGAAGCCCAAAAGACGCCCTTGCCTTCAGAGTGTGCTGATGAGGCCAATGCAAAGCCAGCTCAGAAAAAGATGGTTAAAGCAAAGCGTGGACCAAGGAGAAAGTGAGTGACTTCTGGAATTGTAAAAGCTTTTCTTCTGTGTGTCCTTTTGCATCGGGAAGCTTTGATCTGCATTTTTCCTTCAGGAACTACAGTCAGACCTGTAATTAACGTTACGCTTGTTTTGCTGCCTTTCCTTAAGCAAATGGTTATGTTGGGGGGAACAAATCTTAAAGGAGACTTCTTTGTTTTCTCAAGAATAAATATGTTTGAAAATACAAAATAGCACCCACAGTATTTATCTGCCTTGCAGAGGACTTGTCGTTCTTGAAAGCAAGGCTAGTGTATTTTATCTCAAGTGAAATACTTGCTGATCACCTATAGAAAAAGGGATTAATGAGCCATTAAGACCTACTCTTCTGTGCACACATGGGAATGTATCTTGTCAGAAACCAAATATTAGATTAATTACAGTTGGAGGCTTCCTGGCTGAGCTGATACTCTTTCTCATGGTATCGGAGTAATGTGACCTACCATTAATGAATTCCTTGCCAAGCAGTTTTCATGACCTAAATTTTAGAGTGCCTTCTGGCAAGGCCCACAGGGGGTTTCAGACTTGTAACGTGACCTTCAATGGGTTTCCAATGGCATCTCACTCTTATCATTAAAGAATTAGTACTAGAGTAATGGAGATAGCGTGGGGAAGGAAAGGGGATGTAGCTTTTGGCCTGAAGTGAAGCGTACTGATAAGAAACACTGATTCATATTGATCACCTTTCAACATACCAAGCTGAAAATAAAAATTTTTTTTAGATACCTGTGCCCTAGAGGTGTAACTTCACACATGTTTCAGACTATTTGTGTTCTCTATTTTTATTATCCCTTAGAACGCAAGGAAGAACACCAAATCGAAAAGTGACAGATTATTACCCAGTTAGAAGAAGTTCCAGGAAGAGCAAATCTGAATTGGAGGTAGTGCTTCTTGTTAAAATAATATTACTTGTAACGTTGCCGGTTAATTGAATGTTTGAGGAAGTGCGTAACTATCTGTAAATGGTTTCCATTGGCCAAATACAAATAGCATTGCACACTGGAAGCATTGTTAAGAACATTCTTAAAATTTGGAAATGCTGATCCAGTTCTATGACAGAATCTAGCTGCTTATATGTTGGGGGGGGGGGGGGGCAGAAATCTCTCTTTACCATTTGGTTTTGCTAGAAATACGGGATGGTTTGGAAAAATGAGTGTCACTGGCTAATAATTTCCTTTTAGCTATAGAATAAGCTACAAAAACTATCAACAATACCGTGGTTTTGTTTGTTCTTGTTTCTTCTGCAGACTGAGGAGAGGAGGAAAATAGATGAGCTAATTACAAGCGGGAAGGAAGAAGGAATGAAGGTAACGGCAATGCCAACCTGAGTAGCCACGTACTGTTTATACAGTATGTTGCTGTTAATCTGTTTAAGCAGAAAGTAGCAGAGCTCAGTCTCAGAACTGCTGCAGTTCCTTGATAGTAAGATGGAAGTGCAGCAAAACTGGAGCACATGGTCTTTCCTTTTGGATGGGCGATATTTGGCTCTGAAGGATATGTACGTGCAGCCTCAGTGATGAACATTGAGGGGGCTTTACAGTCTTTACTGAAAATGCACTTGCTCCCTGTAATATCTCATTTTCTGGGTTAGCTTCCAGAAATGGGGTTAGATACAGCATCTTAACTGCCATGTGTTCTAAAGGTAACACCCATATACACTGCCTGTATGGTAACAAATTATCTTAGCCTGTTTACAGCCAGTCGCTGTCGGTCTTCATTATGGCACCTGGGATAATGGGTTGTACTGGTTTTCCTCCCACTGCTAGCAAATACTAGTTATTGGGACCACGTGCTTACTGTCTGGGTTACTCTGATCACCCTTTTTAGAATTTAAAGCAGAAATGGCTCCTGGAAGTGCAGAAGAGCTGCGATTCTTGAAAAGCAGCAGCCTGCAGTTAACACTGTCCTATCTACGACAGTGATAGGAGACCTTTCTTGGAGTTGTCCAATTTACAGGGGGCGGCAGGAATAATAAAGTATACTGGTGGGTGCTAAATGTAATTTCTGTGATTGATCTTTATGTTCCTCTAACTTTTTTTGACCTAGGCATGCTAATGGTGATGGTGCACCTGAAATGGAAAAGCTTACTGGCTCAGCTAATAGATAGTTTAAAAGAAAAAAATAGATAACGCCTCTCTGTGTGTGGTTTATTTAAAGTAATTCTTAGTTCTTTCATTAGAAGGCTCGGTATCAAAATACGTGGTAACTCATAGGGTGTGTCCCAAACTCGTCCTGTATTTCTTCCACAGTGCTGTGCATTGTGCTTCTACAGCTTTGTCTGCAATACACACAAATACCCTGCTGTGGCATTTTTTAATGACAAATCTCTCATTTCCTAGTAAACGGCGTGTTTGCAATCATGTAAATACTTCTTAATTTCCCAGCTGATTTTCTTTTCAACTCAACAGATTGATTACATCGATGGCAAAGGGAGAGGAGTAATCGCTACTAAACATTTTAATCGAGGAGAATTTGTAGTTGAATATCATGGGGATCTCATAGAGATCACTGATGCTAAAAAGCGAGAAGCTGTGTATGCTCAAGATCCATCCACGGGCTGCTATATGTACTATTTTCAGTACCTCAGCAAAACGTACTGGTAAGCTTCTCTTCCCTTAAGTGTGATATTTGAGTGGTAGAGGCTTTGAATGCTGCCAAGTCTTTTCTTGCTTTCATGCAATTTTTTTTTTTAATGGGAACCATGAATTAGGAGATCTTTTTGGAGCACTGTTTCATGGTCCGAGAGCCTCTTGTAACTCTGGGCTAAAAGGAACGGTAGGTGACTCAAAGCCCTATTCTCTGGAGTACAGCACAAACTATATGGAGTTGTATCTGCTTGGATGAGACTTCTAGCTCTGTCATGGACTTCTGCCTAAATTTATTCTCTTGTAAAATTAACTACTTTTCCTGAGTTGCAAGGATGTTGTTGGAAAAGCAGTATGGACAAACTGTCTGGAAGAGAAACATTTCCTTCAACTGTCTTTGACTGGGTCTCCTTTCTCTAGTACCTGACGCCCACCCCGTGTGCATGCTTTATCCCTCTATTTGCCGTGTCATTTGCCCCAAACTCCAGTTCTCTCAACGCAGCTACTCAGACTACGTTCTTTCCTCCTTGGCTGATGTTACTGGATGTGGGTCACTTGTATATTAATTACCTTGAAGCACCCTATATTTCAAGTGTCTGACTTGCAGTCTAGATGCCGTAATGACAGCGGCCATAACAATTCTCCGTGCAATGAGGGGCACTAGAGGTTTAGTATCCAGGTCTCTGGAAGTTGGGTGTGTAGTATTCAGGCATTCTCAGCCTTCAGTGTGAGTAGAGACTCTTGCTGGCTTACTCAGTGGATACTACTTAGCTTGGACGCAGCTTTGTTGAGAGCAGGGTATATATGGTATCAATCAAGCCTTTCTGGTGGTGGTCTACATCTGGATTCTGCTATTCCTCATGAACAGTGCAGAGCTGCTTGGAAACAGGCAGCTCAAAAACATGGTCCAAAACTTTCCATTTTCTGGGTTTTGCGCTAACTTAATATCCCAGAATCGCTTCAGTTTGCCTACATTGCCGTATTATTTAATTATATGAATATTCTGTAACGTTCTGTTTTTCCTTCATTTTTCAAGCCTCATGTGGATTCCTCGTTCTTTATCTGATTTGCACTTTGGTTTTGGTCCACAAATGCGACTGCGTGATATGCAGCAATCCTGCATTCTGTTCTTGTTCTTTCAGTGTTGATGCTACAAAAGAAACTAATCGTCTGGGAAGACTGATTAATCACAGCAAATGTGGCAATTGTCAAACAAAGCTTCATGACATCAATGGTGTGCCTCATCTCATACTGATAGCTTCCAGAGACATTAAAGCAGGTGAAGAACTGTTGTACGACTATGGAGACAGAAGCAAAGCTTCCATTGAAGCTCATCCGTGGCTGAAACACTAATTCATCATCTTTGTTTTGGGGTGTGTTTTTTGGTTTTTTTTTTTGGACTGAGTGCTCTACAAGGAGTCAGTGGATTTTTTTTTTTTTCCTGTCCTCACTTCCCTCAGCTTTCTTAGTGGATGGCTTATGGTGTTCCGAGCTCCTTAAAAGCTACCTTTTTGCTTTGCAGTATTTAAATACCTATTACAGTTTTCCAGGCAGGCTTGAATAATTGATCTTAGATTGCCAAAACTTTGATATCATAAAAGGAAACCCTCCCTAAAATTTGAGTACTTCTACATAGTGACCAGTGCCACTTGAGCATGCAGTCAAAGACTTGCACAGAAACTTAATCGCTTGGGTTGTGCTTCTGCTTTTGCAATGAAATCTCACGCTCCGCTCTGTGGGGTGATGAACTTGGCGTTAGCTTTACGGTGTACTTCTGTTCTCTGACTCGTACATCCAATGGCTAGACTGCTTCTTCCAACCCAGTGCTGACAGGCTTCTCGGAGATGGATGCTACTGTCGTTCTCAATTTGTGGTAGGGATTCAGTTTTTCCAGTGTCTTATCTCATGTTGGCAATGAACTTTAAATGCACTGGCGCTGAGGGAAATGGATGGTCAAATTGGCTGCTTTCTTCAGAGAAATGACTCCAAGCCAAATGAGGATGAATTTTGATAGACTGGGTTAATACTGATTAAAATGTGAAGATAGAACTTCACAGTGAGAATCAATGTTTGACATTACTTATTTTCTAAAATGTGAGATGGTACCTTTTTATAGCTGATGGCTGATTCTTGGAGGTGTCTCCCAGAGGATTTTAAAGAAGTAAAAGAAAAAGCTCTCTCCAAAATTTTTTTTATTACCTTCCTATGCTAATTAGCCACATCAGAAGCTATTTATTTACTGTGAATGCTTGAAGTAGAGCATAGCGGTTCCAAAAATAGGAGTCATCTTCGTATGCAGCTTCAAACTGTAATGACGGAGTTCATGCGATGAAGAAAGTAGATTCCTTATTGCCTGGTCCTGTAGGTCTGTCCAGCGTGGTCTGGTCCCACTGTCTTACATGGGAGTTGAGCGCTTAGCATCTCGCGGATGTTTGTAACGTTACTGTTGGAGAACCAAATCTGTGATATAGGCAGGCAATACAATGCAGGTCCTTTATGTTAAAGATGAATTCTTACCAGTTGGAATTTTTGCCAAGGCAGGCTTGGCATGTGTGTAGATGAAAATGGCTGAGAGCCATCAGCCACGCTTGCTGCTGGAAGATGTCGGCAAGGGATCTGTGGCTCTGTTAACGTCTTCTGTTCCTCGGGTCTTGAAGGCTGCTGCCGTTCCAACTAAGGCCCTCTAGGACAATCTTATACGCTTGCCTATGTGATAGGTCAAATAGCAACAACGTCCTGGTTGTATGCTCCAGCAGCAAGAGAGGTGGCTTAGTGATGTATTTTTTAAATTAAAACTTGAAGACAATGTCTCTGTAAAATAAAGAATATATTTATTATTGATGAAGTGGCTGCTATAGTACCTGTCTCCATTGCAGATCATTAGCGTTTTGAAAGAAAGCTGTGAAAATCGTTAGCCATTAAATGCTTTATATTAGTTACCACTTGACACGAGGCAAGCTCATCAGAGACAGCCTGTGTATTTTCACCATTTCTGAAGAATTAACTGGAGACGTGTTACCTGACATGTGCTGAGTTACAGGTAAGCGTTGTTCGCTGGCTTATTTCAGTCGGCGCTGATTTTTCTCTGGTCTCAGTAACGGAGACTACAGCAGTGTGTACAGTATCCCGTTTTACTAGAGCACTTCCCTTACATCAAAATTGGAATAAAATGCTTCTTTTTGGTTTGTTTTTTTTTTTTGCTTGTTTAAACACTTGCTTGTTCTCTATCAGGTCAAATAGCTTAAAACCTCTGTTCTTCAGCATCACTTTTGTAAACAAGAAAGGGGGAAGCTCTCTCCCTGTTTTACTTAAAAAGAAAATTGTCTTCTCTGAAACGCTTAACTGGTAATCGAGTAGCACTGCATCGGAAGATGGTAATAAAGCTGATGTTGCACTGCATATGTATCCTTTACTTTTCTAGGAACTGATCTCTCTCTCTCTCTCTCCAAATACTTTTCACAGAAACATGCTATTTGCATTTTTATCTCTGTGCCTTATAGGAAGGCACATCTTCTAACAAGGTGTAAAGCACTCAGCAGGGGAAGATGCCCTTGGGTTGGGAGCTAAACTGCTTTTGTCAGGCTGGCGGGGCCTTGCCAGAGGCAGCGGGTTGCTCTAACAGGACGGCGGCCTCTTCTTGCGTAGCCATAGCCAAGGAATTTGCTCCCCTTTTGCGAGAGAAGCTGTGCAGCTCGCTTGGCACCGGTGGTGCAACTGTGATGGTTCCAGAAGATGACCAGCCCAAAAAGGCTGAGGTGCTCTCCTGTCTGTTTTAACTGGTGGACTCCCACTTTTTTTTTTTTTTTTAATGAAGAACATCTTAAATGGTAAACTGAAAAGAATAATTGTGGCTTTCGTTATTGTCTCCTTCAGCTAACTGCAGAGAGTGGCCTAGGGCTATGTTAGTCTTCTGTGCCTCTGTGGTTGTTACTTTTGCACAGCTCTGTTTAATCTGTGCAGTTTATTACCCGAAGTTGTTTCATTAAGACTTAGTAGAGTGATTAGTGTGTTCTGGGGCATAATTCCCCCTTCCCCCCTCCCCCCTTTTTAAAGGAGATTGGAAAATGCATCCCTGGAGAAACCACAGAAGAGGATGGAGTTCAGAGCACATGTAAACATCTTTTCAGCTCAGAGGGCTATCCTGGCTGTTGCTGATGCACAATTGTTTCTTTTTTCTCCCCCCCCCCCCAAACACAAAGCCTCTGCTAAGGAAATGCAGTAACTTCCTTCCCTGCTGCCATGCACTAGAAAATCCGTTGCGGGGACATGGCCAAGGCTTATTAATATTTTTGAAGGTGGCAAAATGACTTCAGCAGTTCCGTGCCCTGGCTAAACCAGCTTGCTTAGGTCAGACATCTTGGATCTTGCCTTGCTAACGTACAGTCGCTAACAAATTCTCTCTGAAAGGAGACTGCAGTTCTGCCTTCTGCTAAGCCATGTTCGCATTGTGCATCTGGGCAGATGTGTGAAGTGTCCTGTATCTTTCATGCTGCTAGTGTATGAGAGGGAATCAAAAGATTTTGGAGCTTGCTTTCACTTCTGAAGAGAGTAAGATCACAGTTTGATACCTGTCACTGCTCCTTTTATGTCTGTTCAGATACTTCTGCTCTTGAAATTCTGCTTTCCTAAATGTGGAACCTAATTGGTGTATTTCAAGCTTCTTTTCTATTCCTCTGTTTGCCCTATATGCTTCCACTAGTGATAAATCTCATTACTCGGGCTAATACACAGCTTGTGACAGTTGACTGAAAGAACAGAGCTTATGAAAAATACAACTGTCTACCACAGGAGACTTTAGCTGTCAGAAACGAAATGTTTGATGCATCTGTTCCAGCTGGAGCATGTCTGCACCTCCACAAAGACATCAGTCCTTCCTGTGGGCAGAGCACGGTGCGGCAGCTTTTCTTCCCTTGCTGGGCTCTTCTCTACTGTCTTTCGTCTCGACCCCAAACGGCCACCGCGTGCGCACAGGGGTTCTGTTGTCACAACCCAACTGCGTCTTGGTGGGGTGGGGTGCGACAGGCTTCTGCCCGCTGCTGCCTGTGTGTCACCCATCTAATGCGAAGAAAGACACAGCACAAAAAGCAACGCTGGGGTTTTCCTCAAGCAGTTCTGCGTTAGCGTAAGATAATTACTTTCCGTAAGCTGAATGGGTTCTTCCTTTATGAATGCACTTGGGAATGGCATCTCTCTCTCAAAAATATCTTCATCTTGCAAAATCATTTGGGCTGAGCATTTTGCTAAGTGGGCAGCATAAATAAGTGGTAGTACAGATCATCACAGGCTCTTTTAATAACAATAAAAATCACCTTTGTATAAACGTTTATTCTCTACATGTGGGTACTGTCTGGCCGGAATCTAAGAAATACAAAAAGTATCTGTCTTCAACCGCTTCTAAAACAGCAAAGTAAAATCTATTCTGAAAGAATATTATACAACACAATTTTTATGAGATTGCTTATTCTCTGCAGTAGGAGTGATGCTTTTTCTTCCAGTTGTTGGCTCCCCTAACACCTTCGGGGCTCTCATCAGTGCCGTTTCTGAACAGAAGTGGTTAAGTTGTTGAGGATGCTCGTTTTCCATGTTTAAAAGAGAACCTAAAAAAAAAAAAAAAAAACCAAAAAGGAAACAATAACGTACAACTGGAAAAGGAGGAACATGCCAAGTGAGATGGCCGTGTCGATGTGTTCTGCTGTTTTGGGGAACTTTAGGGATGCAGCCCGAGCTCCTCGTGGGTACTGCACACAGCTGCTTCGTACAATGCAAACAACCCTCCCGGGACAGCCGGCGTGTTCCCACAGCGGAGTCTTGATGTGCTAGCAGGGGCGGCGAGTATTGCATAGTTTTGCTCTGGAATGCTTATTTTTCCTAGAAAAAAGTGACGCCCTGCTTGCCTGGGTGGAGGTTGCCTTCCCGTGGAGTGCATTTTCCCCAGGAAAGGATTTCTCTATTGCCTTTTAATTTTACAGGGAGAGGAGGAGAAAACAATATCCAGCCAACTAGGCCAAAGTTCAGAATTCATCCCTGGATTCGCTAAGTGTGAAGCATGCCATATTCTCCCATATTCTGCCAAAAAAGATGCAGACTTACAGCCGTTTGATGATTGTCTTCTCTTCGCTGTCCTTGCTGCTGCCACAGCTGCTGCCACTGGCCTCTTTTTCCAGTTCTTCAGTTTGGTCCCTTCTCTGTGAGATGATCCCACTGGGAAAAGAAGTGGGTTTGTTTATTTTTCGTGGGTTTGTGCATAGCGTGGCACTGCTGCCTGTGTGAAACCCTTCACTGGGAGCCTAGCACCTGGGTGACTGGGCGTGCACAGGACAGGTATGGCACCCTGGCCTATTTCTTGTGATGAATTGCTCTTACTTCCCTTAAATACTGCCATGTAATTTTGCTATGCTTTAATGAGAATGCTAAAAAAGTAACGAGCTGACTTCTCTAGAGAGGAAGAATGGCAAATCTTAACAGGAGTGAAAGGGAAGTGTAATTACACGTTGGATTTGTACAGGAGTCCCATGGGAACAGTAGGGTGCGGACACAAATGGTGAATTTGTGCATGGGTGGATCTGTGGTACGTTCAGCGCAGCCAGGAAGGCTCACGCCACGCAGCTGGGAACAGATGGGAGATTCCCAGCTGCCCTACAAGGCAGGTGGCTGTTCCTCTTCCTGTCCCACAGAGGAGAAAAGAAAGGCTTTGCCCGAGCGGTAGATTTTGTCATCCTACTTTGATGCTGCTACGCTCTACAAGGTTGTAACCGCCTACTTTAGGCAAAAGCTTCAGTTTTACCAAAGGATGTTTCCTGGGCTTGGAGTCGGGTTAGATTTTACCAGCTTGCATACGACACTATGCTTTCAGCGCATGCCAATTTACTATCCTGAGCTGACCTCGTTTATCTTGAGAGCTGGGTGGATCAAAGCTGGTGACTGCAGTAGCTGAAGGCTGAAAGTAGCTAAGCAACACTTGTCTGGACCTTGGAAATAAAAATACAGGAGAGTATCTAGAAACCGGTGTGACATCAGGCATGGGATAATTCTGAGGCAGATTCTCCTCTTAGAGAAACGGGACTATGAGCTGTTTGGTGACGCTGCAGATCTCCAATATCTGCACGATAACTTCTACTCAGAAATCATGATTAAAAATGCAATCCCCAAACATCATCAGTCATTTTAAGCCATCCTCTGTGAGGATGTCAGTTACCTTGTGCTATACAGAGCTTATTTCCAATATACACAAGACATTTTAGAACATACACTCGTATTTATCCTCTTCCCCTGCACAACTACTCTTTATGGCCATACAATTATAATTAGGATTTGATGTGGATGTTTAAAGGGAAGATGGTTTTTGGCTTAAGCTGTAATGCTGTACGAGGAGATAACCACATACATAGAATTACTTGAACTGAAAAGCAGCCTTGACACGCTCTCTAGGTGCACAGCACCGTCACTTAAATCACTCAAAAACTGAAAACATTCGCACTGTTAATTTTTAACTTGGCCTGTAATAAGCTGTGTAACACAGCTGGGAAATCAGAGCAAGAAGCCGTTGCAGTGGCCGCAGAGCCGGGGCAGGCAGCTGAGCTGGGGAAGCGGTGCCTCGCTGCGCGGTCGAGCGGTTTGTAAACGGACTTCCTGGGTTTAACTTTAACTTCTCGGCTTAACCTGCCCGCTAAGGCAAAGGGCGGGCTTGCTCTATCTAAGAGGTTGTTGCTGAGATACCTCAACTGAAATCTAACGTGCTCAGATGTTTTGTGTCTAGATTAAGAAGTAGTTTCTTGCCCCAAATTGTTTGTAATACAACCTGATGATGAGGGGCAGAGGTTGGAGGAGGGCAGCCTTGGAGGTGAAGGAATTTGTAGCACCAAGAGCAAGGCCCTTCCCGCATCCCACCCTTTGGCTCACACCGATTCTCCCAGGCCGGTTCCATCTAGAAATACCAGGATCCTTCTCTGAAAGCACTTGATTTGCACAGTTCAAGTGCCTTACACAACCCTCTGTCGGCAGTCTTAAAAAAATCCCCACAGCTTATCTCGAATGATGATGAAAGGACTTAATATTCTGCTTTCTAGATCAATGGCATACCCGCTGGGGGAGCAAAGGAACGGCAGATAAGCTAGCGTTCCCGATGGCCAGCTGGAGGAGGAAGGAAATTTTGACTAAAGCTGAGATGGAAACCCCTGTGCTCTTTGGTACGTAGCGCGGCTTTAGACGGAACAGTATGCGTGCAACTGCTGTGCCGCAGAGCTGAATTCATGTGCGTGAGATCCCAGCTTGTACGTGGAGCGGGAGTAACCGTACGTAGGCTTACAGCGTGGCAATTATGGGCGCAGGCTGCGAACTGCGCAGAATAAGAGGGGGTTTAGTTTTAAAATTAAGTTGCATAGAGACTTCATCATTCCCCCACTTTTCTTTGCTGGTTGGTAGGCTCTTGGGAGCACAGATGCACTGGACAGTGCCTAGCCCCATCTGGGTGCTCAAACCCGCAGCACTGATCTGGTAAGCTCCCCAGACAAGAATCGTTATTAGTTCTTTGCTGACTTCACGATATACCTCTTATAGCACTGGAGCTCCTCTTGCACCACAAGAAGCTGAGCTTTCAGCTGGTTACGCTCTTGCAATACATCTCGCAGCTCCTGTAACGTGAACCGGGGGCGATTTGGATCTGTGAGGTCTATTACCATTTTATCTGGTCCAAGGCTGAGCTGTAAAATAAACGGTGGTGGTCATGATCTTGTAGCGTGTCAAAAACAGGGCACTCATAGAGTAAAAACCTCTGAATTTTAAAAAGATGTAGTAATTCTTAGAACTAGCATGAGTTCATCACAATCCTGATTTTTTTTAATTAATTATAGGGTTTTTATAACTATAGTTAATGATAGTTTTTCATATTTTTGTATTCCCTTGGTGTCTGCATTTCCCAGCCAAGTACAGGGCCCAACCGTGACAGGCTCTGGCCACAGCTAAAAGCAAAGTCTCTGTCCCAGAGAGTTTGCAATCATCTACTTTGCCAAGAAGCTGCTTTTATCTGCTTTTCTGATGAGAGAGGCTGAGCACTCTGTCTAACGTCACACCCTAACTGTGGCAGAGAGAGGTGAGAACTGAATTCTCCTTTCCTAAATTAAGACCTTTGTGGTAACGGCTTTTTCGGTCACAGACATCAGTTTCCCTCACGCAGAGTAACGAAGCTTTAGCGTTTGCATAAATGGCAAATTGTTTTTATGGGGACGGTGCTGTGTAAGAGCTGCGCAACGGTGGATTTGTACTCTGTGAAAATCTGCCCGCGTGCCTGAACTCCTGTGTTAGCACTGCGCGTCGCTGAGCTCAGCGCGTGGTTAGTCACCACAGCGAGACGGGAGCGAGGCGTCCACAGCGCTGCGACTGGTAACAACCCTGACGATCTCCGCTCTGGAAATGGCTTCAAGGCCTTCTACAAAGATGAGAAGCAAACTTTCTGAGACTCGTTCTGCTGGGAGAAAAGAGACCGGCGATCGCGGCAAAAGTATCCTCCGACCCGTCTGGCGTCAGGGCGGGTTTCACGACCCGCGTGTGGCCAAGTGGACGGGCCATGCTGGGCGCCCGCCGCGGCCCTGGCACCCACCTGCTGGGCGCTGCCCGGGGGCCCCGCTCCCCGCAGGGCCTCCACCTCCCGCCGCAGGCTGTCCCGCTCCATCCGCAGCTGCTCCTCGGCGAGGCTGCTCTCGCTCACCAGCGCTTCCAGCATCTCCAGCACCCTCACGATCCTGAACTGCAGCCGGGCCAGGGCGGCGGGAACCTGTGGCCCGGCGCTGAGCTGCAGCAGGTCCCGGCCCACCACGGAGGAGATGTCATAGACGTCCCCGGCCGTCAGCTGGAAGGGGCTCTTCTCCAGAGCCCTCTCCAGGCCGCCATCTTCCTCCTCCTCCTCCTCCTCCTCCTCCCGGC